TGTGAAGGACCAGGCGCGTGACTGCCAAGGGACCCGGAGCTGTTCGCTACCCATACGACCGACGGTGTGATGACCTCGAGTACCGTACCGGGAGAGGATCCAGCACCGTGGGGGGTTCGAGGATGAGCAGCCGAGCCGCCTTCGACTCGCAATCGTTCCGGCTTTCTTCCCATTTCCTCTTTTCTCGGGAGAAAAAGAGGCACCTCCCCTGGTAGAGGACCCACTCCTTGGGGCACAGGTCTAGAGAAGACAGAAAGGGCTGGCGGGCGCTCGCAGGTGCGCCCCCTTTCCCCCCCCAGGTGGTTGGGTCCCGGGGGTCGGGGGCTCTCTCTAGGCAGTCGCCCCAGGCGCAACCTCGCCACGGAGCCTGCACCTTCCCTGGGCTGAGGCTCTACCCCCCCACCCCCCACCCGGTGCATGGTTTCCCTGTCCCACGGGTTACGATCCAGCACGGCGCCGCCGGATGGAGGTACACCGGCAGGATTGGAAAGATCAGACCCAACAGGTCGGTTGCTGAAATTGCGAAGCGGGCGGGGGACGGTGTCCTTTGGCTCAAAGGCAACGAGGATGCCGCACGGCAGGGAGCGAAGCCTCACCGGTCCCAGACCGGAGGCAGCCGCGGCCACCTGGCGCGCGAGAGGAGCGGCTGCCTCACAAGCCCTTCCCTCCGCCCACAGCCTTCAGAAGGGGCGCCGCTCCCAGGCAGCCCTTCGCCAGGGACTCTCGGGTGAAGGGGATCCCTGCCCCGCATGGAGCCAGTTTGGGAGGGGGCCCAGAGGGCCCGCGGCCCCAGCAAAGGGAAGCCTTGTCCCACAGCGGTGGGGTGCAACCCCCTCCTGCTCAGAGCATGCACACCCTGCAAGCAGAAGGCGCTGCGCTCTGAGTGAGTCCCCCAGGTTCTGCCCCATGGCAAAGTCAGCTGTTGAGAGACGGAGGGGGCTGCAGGACGCTACTCCCTCCTCCCCCCCCCGCTTCCCCGGAGTGGCCCATGAAACAACCTTGGCTCCGGGGTTCAGGACCAGGCCGGGGGGGGGTCACTTCCACCCATCCTTCTCGATTCAGGGGTGTCTTCGTCAGATTTCCCACTGGCAGCGGAGGGAGTCCTGCTTCCCCCCTCCTCGGGCCCCTCCCTCGGCCCTGGGAGACGGTGGCGGAGGCCGGGCCGGGCCCCACAGCGGGGACGAGCCGCCCGGGGAGGAGGGCTTACCCTTCCAAGCCGTGCTCCAGGTGGCGTTCAGACGGACTTCCCTGGCTTGCTGCTGCTGCTCCAGCTCCGCCCGGGACGCCTCCAGCTGCGCTTGCAGGCTAAGGCTTTGTGCCTCGTGAGCCCGGGAGGCTTCTTGCAGCTGCCGGGAAAGCTGCCAGTCTGGAAAATCACAAGGCACGAGCCCAGCAGGGCAGTATATGTGTGTGTGTGTGTGGGGGGGGGCACCAGTGCCGACCTGACCCATTGTGCTGCCTGAGGAAGAGGACCAACAAAGAGCGCCTCATTCCCTCCCCCGTCCCCAAACCATGGAGGCAACTAGCCAGGCTCTTCTCCAAGCAAAAGCAAAAACAGCAAAGCGTGCTGCTTATATACCGCCCCCCATAGCGCTTCAAGCACTCTCTGGGCGGTTTACAAGTTAATTACGCAGGCTACACATTGCCCCCCCGCCCAGCAAGCTGGGTCCTCATTTTACCGGCCTCGGAAGGATAGAAGGCTGAGTCAACCTTAAGCTGCTACCTGGGATTCATCCTGAGGTCGTGAGCACAGTTTTGGCTGCAGTAGAGCAGTTTAACCACTACGCCACGAGGCTCCTCCAGGAAGCATTGCAAAGGAAATTGGGGGGGGGAGCAGGGGAAGAATCCTCCGGAGTCAGGAGGGTCTTCCACCCTGGGAGCCGTCCTTCCCCTGCTTCTGCAGTTCCGAGAACAAAGACCTCCCTCCCGCCCAAGAGCCCTGGAACTTCTGAAGGAGCAGGAGGGGAGGGGGCCGAGTTTAGCCCCCCCCTTCATCTCACGCTTGACTTCCGAAGGGCAGGAAAGCCGCCAGGATTCTCCCGGGCGCTTGCTCTACATCCAGAGGGATGGGGACTGGGCGGCCCCCCAGATGTTGCTGGGTAGAGAGGGAGGGAGGAACGCGGGTGTGTGTGTGTGTGGGGGGAACTGCAGCCCAAGAACTCCTGGAGGGCCCCCTCTTTGCCCACCTCAACGCAGACAAGGAAGGTGTGCGTTCTCAGGACGCTCCCCGGGACTGGGGAGTTCAACGACGGGGAGCCTATCGCTGCCAAGAAGCAGCCCCCTGCCCCGCTCTGGCCCCTTCCTTCCTTCCTTCCTGGGAGGAGAGCAGGCGGTGAAGGACGGACGAGACCAGACCGGAGCCGGTGGGGGAGGAAGACCCTCGGAAGAACCTCGGAGCCTGTCTTTTCGAAGCGGAAAGGCCCTTGGCCAGCAAAAAAACACCCGTGCCGTTTTGGAGCAGTATAGGGTGAAAAGGGGCAAAACATAGATATTACTGGTCCCCAAGGGTGAAGGTGGCACCGGTGGGGAAAGTCCAATGTGCATTGCCTGTCGTCACAATTGAATGTATTCTTTAGTTTAGATTTTAATTTTGTTGTTTGTAATTTTTCTTTTATTCATTAATTAGAAGAAGAGGAAAACCCTTGGGAAGCGACCTGAACCAAAGGGAAACCCTGCTCGGCTGGAAAAGCCCCTTTCCCCTCTTGGTCCTCTTCCGTTCCTCTGCGCTCCCAGATCAG